AAATGGTGGTTATTTTCCTATTTTGGGATGAGCTCAAGGGGTAGAGTAATTTACAGATCATAAGATCTTCCACAGTTCATATATAGGGTAGGTGAACAATTATGCTTAATTTCTTTTAACAATTATGTTTTAATCTAGTGACAAATATATGATGCTGGCGCTACTTAAAAACCGCAGAGGAGAGCACTGAGTTGGGTGTGGTTTAAACACTTGGGAATTAATTGATAAAGAAGCTTTCTTAGAGTTAAGTTTCAAAATATCTTAGTTTCCCACAGACTGTGGATAGTGACATTCAGGAAAGACAGAGACATATTTTACCACACTAAAATTAGGCCAGCAAGTAAACTATATGAATAAGTAGCATGCAAACTTTGAAAATCGGTTACAGAGATTTGTTTTTCCCTGTGCTCGTCAGGATGAAGGTGGCCCCAGTGATGTGGTGGAGCCCTGCTGGCACAGCTGGCTGTGAGTTGGCCTGCACGCCAGCAAGACGAAACTACCAGCCTTTCTGTGTGGGAAGGATGGCAGTGAGCTTGGTGTGCTGTGTAGGTTTGATTCTCAGTCTGCCTGATTTCATTCCAAAATATTTCATATTGGAGGAGAAATCCATAGGATGCAATTGGAACCCCATTAGAAAAAACTGAGGTTTGATGTGTTCAACTGTAAACACATTTGTCATAGATTAAATGAACTCCAGCACTATTATGGACTTAAAAAGCTGAAGCACTCTTCGTGGATAGAAGCAGAAGGTGGTTGTTCTTAGATGTAGAAATTAAAGCCAATGGACTTTGTTCAAATCTCTGTTGCTTCTGAAGTTGCCTGAAATTGACAATTTGGGATTATTATGTATCTGCCATCTATTTTCATAATCTTTGCTTTTGTGCTATATGTCTTAAAGTTCTATAAAGTAATAGTTTTGTGTTAGTGCATGAATGTTATTGAAATTACGAGTTTTTGCCTAACCCTCAATTAGTTTCAGTAGTTCCATTCTATCATTTTTTATAAGTAAACCTG